TGAAGAACCTTTACTATGAGGAAAGGCTGAGAAAATTGGGATTCTCAGCCTGAAGAAGAGAGGGCTCCAGGGTGACCTTAATACAGCCATCCAAGGAGCCCACAAGAAAGATGGCAAAAGACTCTTAAAAAGGCCTTGTAGTGACAAGACAAGGAGAGATGTTTTGAGGTGGAAGAGAGTAGGTTTAGATTAGATAATATAAAGAAATATGAGAGTGATCAGACATTGGAAGAGGCTGTCCAGAGAAATTGTGACTGCTCCATCCCTGGGCAGATTCAAGACCAGGTTAGATGGAGCTTTAAGCAACGTGTTCTAGTGAAAGGTGTTCCTGTCCATGGCAGAGGAATTGTAACTGGATGATTTTTATGGTCCCATCCAACTCAAGGCATTTTATGATTCTATGTCCTGTGAAGAAAACTGTCTGTCTCCACAGGCTATGCAATCAACCCAGACAAATAACTTACTCTTTGCCTTTAAGTTGCTGAAGTTAAGTGAGATTGATTTACCTTTTAAATTCTGTTTCAAAGGACTTAAGCTTATTCTCAGTTCAAATCATTTTCAAAGCTCTTTTTACTTGGAATCTGACCAACCCCTCTGAATATTAGATATTTTAAACATAATTGTCTGTCATCTTTTTATTTGTAACTGCCATCTTATGAATTTTAAAAAACACACATTCTTCCTAGACTAATTAGTTTGAATAGCCTACTTAATTTCACTAAAGCATCATGTTCCCTAGCAACACATTCTAAGCCTGCCAGGCATGCTGCCTTACCAAAGAGCATGTGGAGGAAATTAAGTCAGCATCAGCACTGCTGCTTCAAGTTTTATCTCAAGCAATGTTCTGTCTTTCAAATGAATCTGCAAAATGGTCTCACAGTTCCTTAACTGTCTACATCAAAAGGTGTATTGCCACACAGTATGCAATTAGATAGCATGCAGTTGGGTAGGAATCACCCCTGGCTGAGCAACAGAAAGTGATAGAAATTGGTCTAGAAAGACCAATTCCAGAGGGTCTAATCATAATCAATGTATTCTTGCATGCCTTTTGGAGAAATTTAAATATTTTGGTGGCAAGCTCAATTGGTCTAACATCATGAAAAAGCATTTCATCATAATTTAGGATGGCACTTTTTCAGGAAACCTTGGGTGTGCCCCTGGGTGTGTTTGTCTGGTGCCCTGAAGGTAGAGCTGAGGTGTGACTTCTGCCTGGTGATAATCTTGTGGTGGGGCTTTTCTCTCTTGGTGAAACCACAGATGGACTCACGCAGAGAAGTACCATCAAGGGCTTCCCATTTTCATTGACACTGCAACCCCTTTAAAAAAGTTCCCTTTCTCTGAGAAGTGGAAAGAATTCCAGTACTGGCAAAGACACATCCACAATGCAGATATGAAAGTGTATCGCAACAAACTGAAGCCCTCTCCTCACATCCCTGTGCCCCACCCTGTGCTTACTACAGGCACACATGCTGTGTTTGGGGTTCAAGTGAAATGGAGGAGATCACCTATACCCAAATCAAAAACTGGAAACTATACTTTCCCCAATGCTTACTCAAAAGTTTTGGAAGCTTTTATAAATGTTGTCCTCTCTGATTTTCCTTGAAAAAAAAAAAAAAAAAAAAAAAAAAAAAAAAAAAATCCATAATTAAAATGAGAAATGAATGTTAAGAGCAGCTTCAACTCAACTGACATTTCACTTTAACATTTACTGGAGGCATTCTACTTTTGTTCAGAAAACATTAAGAAAAAAAATTGCATTAAATATTTATTTAGGAATACCCTTCTACAATGGATATTTTCTGTGTGAAAGATGATTTCTCATGTCATAAAAGCTGTTATTCTGCCCTTGCTTTCCTTTGCCTGGCATTAACAGGGAATAAAAGCACACCTTGTTTCTAGACTGACTCACTGTGACAGGGGGAGCCTTGAGGATCGAGGATCCATCACCAGACAGGCAGCACAGGCTGTACCCACACCTACTCCAGAGGCTGCCCTTTGGGGACTGCAGGCAGTGGGAAATGCACTGCTGAGCCACGGTTTGCAGTTGATCCCAGTGCTGTACAAAGTCCTGATGGAAACCCTTATGTGCCAGGCAAACACATTTGTTAGTTTGAGGAAAGGCTACAGTGTTCTAATTATATTCATGTTTTAATTTCTTTCCAAACCATAAATTTATCAACAAATTTTCATCGTTCCCTAGTTCTTTCCATCATTCCCCCAACAATCTCAATTCCCTTATTTTGTTCTCTCTGATAACAAGATAAAACCCGGGACATATTTATCATGTGAAACACTTGATTTTTCTCTGCCTGACTATTTAATAATAACTGAAACAACTGTACTAACAGCTTCTTCTGAAATCTGAAAAATCAGAGCTGTTTTATTCTTTCAGAACCACATTAAAAAAAACAAAAACAAAAACAAAAACAAAAAAAAACAAAAAACAACCCAAAAACTAAAAAAAACCAACCAAACCAAAAAACCCTGTTGCCTTGAAATATTTATCTCATTCCTTCTAATGCACTTCCCAGTCTTTATCCTGTATCAGATTGTACCAATTAATTTTTTGGGGTACATCTAACCCTACAGTATGGAAAAGTATTAGATTCAAGCATGCCAGTTTAAAGTCAAACTGTTAAACTATGGCAAGTAAAAGGTAGCTTAATCTTCAGCAAAAAAACATTAAAAACCACTTCCATTTGCTATTGAGGACAGCAAAGTAATGCAGTAGAAATAACATCCCATGAATCCAAACCCTATCTTGCCTTAATTAAACCAAATAGTTGAGCCATAGCCTGACCCTATTTCAGGACTTCAATGAACCTCTCCACTTTTGAACTGTGTCAGTTTATTTTCTCAACAGTCATAACTTGGATGGACAAGAACTGCTGGCCAAAAGTCAACAAAGCACATAACAAAGATTAATCCTACAAGGACTGAATTGTAGGACCCTCCAGTGCAGTGGGTCTAAAAGCTTTCCTTATTTTATATGTCTATTCAGGATTCTAGATCTAAACCTAAATCCAAATCTAAATTTATTTATGTTGCCATAGGCACCTCTGGGAATAAAACAATTGCCTTGCATTTTGCATTTGCTATTCCAGTGCTATTCCAAAAGCTATTCCAGAGCCAATAGCAAACTCCAAGCATCTGTGATTTCCAGTCACTAAGGTGACTGTAAATTAAATAATTAATTTTGTGATGTGATTGTTATCTCAGGCATCATCAATGACCCTTCTAGTAACTTGATTTAGTTTGTAGGATAGTCTTTGAGTATAAATCAAACAAAAACATTTCTGTCATGAGACTAATAGTGCAAAGATGAGCTGGCTTTAGGATTTAACAGATTATTTTCAATTGTATATTGATTATTTTTCACTCTATTGTCATTCCCCTAGCAAATTAAAGGTAGGGGAAGCAGAGCTAAACTGGAGGAGTTGCATTTAAATTTTTCTTCCATTATTGCAAAGTGTAATTAGCACTCAGACTTTTAAATCAGACTTCTCCATCAGTTCTAGGAGGGTCTGATGGATGATAAGCTTTTACAAATGTGGTTATTTTTATCAAATAATATTTTAAAAATAAATTTAAGTAAAACATTAAAAACATTACGCTTCATAATGACATTTTTTTGTTTCTTAAAAAAATGAAACTGCAACAAATAAATGAAGATGGCACAAATTTCAATTTCATGTTAAACATATTTATGTTCAACCAACTATAAACAATCTCAAGCTCTGAAAATCTGTTTTAACTGAAAATTAGTTTTCTGTGTAAGAAGTAATATTTAGTTAGCTTTTGCTAACCTGCCATGCAATAACAATGGCTTTCCTGCCATCCTTCTCTTGCCAGTGTGACACAACTTTTGGCCTTTTTGTGGCTGACCCAGATTTGGGCTTAGCCTGATGGACCAAACCTTGAAAAAGTTTACATAGACATTGCTCTATGTCTTACAGTCTCAGTATACCAAAGTAATTATTTTTCTGATGATTAATAATCTTTCTAAATTTTCCTATATAGGAGGGATGTGTGCAAAAAAGTAAGCCAAAACTGTACAGCAGGGGGAGTTTCTGAATGGGATCTAGACCTGAAATCTCATTAGCTGTCAGACATCTGCAATAGCAGCCAAACATTCTGCACTGCCTAATGGAATCACTCTGGAACTGGGATTTCAAAGGATCATACCATTTTTCAGATACCTAATAGACTCCAATGCTAATTTGGGAAATAAAAGATTTCTGTAAATGTTAAGGGATCTAAATTTCATCAGAATTTGAAGTGATCTAAAAATAAACATATTTATCTAAAAATTTCAACTTAATTATAAGTTTACATATTTTAAAGATTGTCTTATTTCTTTGTTCACATAATAAAAGGATGTCAGGTTTTTATATGTTTTTAATGCTTCAATATTGAAACAAATCTTACTGCAGAAGCCTTTTCCTCTGAGACTTGAAGGCAGCACTAGGTTATGTGGCCTCTTGCCCAAGTGCACATTCTAATGGATGGGAGGACACTTGGCCTTATATTATCTCTTGGGTCATTACCCTCAGATTTTACCTCCAGTGGTGTTTATATGAGAATTTCCTTCCTAAATTACATCAGCACATCAACTTCTTGATAGGCTGCTCTCTGGTTTTCCAGTGAGAAATCACCTCATACCCCAGGAGTCTAAATCCTTTCAGAGAACTGCTGCAAATTTGGCACATGTACCTTCTTTCTGACAGGATAAATAATTCAACACAATATTCTCTGCATTATGCATTCAAGGGAGTTCAAGTCATATCTATTATTCATTGGGTGCTATTTAACCAGCTCTATCATTGACTAACTTACATTCTGTCACTTACCTTAACATTCATTTCAGCACTTAATTTATTCCTTAATGGTTATCTCATAATTACATTAACTAAAGCTGTTATATAAAGCAATGATTGCAATGTTTTGTATTTTTGTTTTTTCCCTTCACCATCAAAAAATTTTAAAATGTTCTTCTACAGTTTTCTAGTCTGTGCAGGGATCCTTAAAGGTCCAAAAATGACAGGAGGGTCATCAACATTCCCAACAGAGAGAAAATGCCTGGAAAATTATAATTTCAAGTAAGTAGAGTTTATTTACAAAATTAGATATAAAAATTACACAAAATTGATATTAAAAAAGTCAGTATCTAAATTTCATTATTTGATTTATTCTTCCACATTTTGAGACATAATTTTTCATGTTATAATAACCTAGGCAGAAAGAGAGAAAAATAATTAAACTGTGTTAAATACCTTGAAAATAAAACAACAGATGGAGTTTAATGGGGGTTATTTTATGAAACTTCACCAAGATAAGACAATATTTTCCAGAAGTAACTGTTTACCAGATCATTAACAAAAATTTTTCAAAGGAAGGAATCCAGAATATTAAAACCTAATAACATTTCATAAACTGTTTCATGGGATAGTGGAAAACAGTCATCTGCAAAGGTCAAATTTAAGTTACATTCTTCCCCTGATATTTTCAACAACACAAATACCTGTGGGATGATAGAATTTTTTTTACAGCAAATACTGCATTAGTCTTAATCAGAAGTCAGACAAGAGTCTCCGGATCTCACCCAAGAACCACTGAATTTTTGCTACCTTGCCTTAGACCACGGTCCTGTCTTATTGGCAGCAGAACACTCCAGTGACATTCAGCAATATTCAGTATGGAAAAGTGTCCTCCCCCTAATCACCAGACTCAGGGCTTTGGCAATTAACTGTTCTGACTGAGTTACTCACTGAAGATTCTCTCTTTTCCACAAACTACAGAGAAAACTTATGTTGACAGCTTAAAAGACACCATATTTTAGTTACCCATTCTTGCAGAGGACTGCATAGCACAAATTCAGTTCTTCTGTGTTTCTGCCCCAGTGACATCATGGCTTCAGGAAATTTCTCATCTTAGCTAGGATGCAAAGATTTCCTTTCAAAAATTCTTATTTTAGTGATATTCAACATAATTGCTTAAATCATACATAGTCTATTCAACCTTGGTGGGAAATATTAATGGCTACTAAATTTCAGCTTATAAACCTTTTAACATCAATCAGTTTATACAAGCACTTCACCTTTGGTCACACCAAAAGATCCCTGAGATGGTCTGGTAACTCAGTTTTCAATGCCAATGTGGAAGTTTTCAGTGCCTTATTAGGCCATCAGTGCTAGTCGCTGTTTGTGAATTCTACCTTGCAGTTACCTGGATCGTTCACATACATCTAAAGGGATAAAATAACTGCAAAATTGAAAGCTTCAAACATGTTAAAACAGCTCCTTAGTTGTTCAACTCAATTATAGTTTTTGTATATCCCCTATTATATTATGCATGCATTTTTCCCCTATTGGTTTATAATTTATTAAAAAAATATGTTCAACATTTTTTTATTATAAGTAACTTTATACAGCAGCTAAGCAGAAAAATCACACCTGCAGCTCAACTGACAAATAATTTCCCATTCTTATCATATTACACTGGAAGAACATTCATTTATATTTACTTGCAGTGAATTTTGCCATTTTTTCTGAAGACAAAGTTGTCCTGCAACAGGAATTCTCTGCCACTTGGCTGAGCAAGGAGTTCAGAAAGAGGTAAGTAGTGAAGTTCAAAGTGACATTATTTAGAAAGTTAAAAATATGAGGGAACCTGTGGCATTAGAATTAGACTTTCCTTGCCATCAATATTACAGCTATAGTGTGTACTATAATAGTAATTTTTATAGTAAAAGAAGTGAGGCTTACACAAAAAAATAGTTATTTGGAGAATTTAGGAGACAAGAATGTTGCCTGTTATTACATCTGATGGTTCTGTGGAATGTAGCAGGTGAGTAACACTTGTGAAATGGCTTCTGTTCTTTAAAGTGTGCAGAGATTGATTTTGATGTTTTATTATCATCAAGAAGAAATGTTGAAATTGTATGGTCCCTTGTTTGGAGACTGGGGGTGTGGAAGGTGGTGTGCAGAGGTGTAGAAATAGGACACAGTTCAGTTGCTTAGATATTGGTATCTAATATCTCTTGTGGGACCATGACTGGACTGACCCAGGGAAAGGTTTCCAGATACTCTGGTCACATGTGGGTGCCTTGCAAATCCTGGGATATCTCAACTTCCAACATGGACAATTAAACCTCTACAAGTAACTTCTTCCACCTATTTTAACACCCACTTTCAAACTGGTCCCACCTCTTGCTGTGGTCTTTAAAGGGATTCTCATCAGTCAGTTGGAGATAAATGGCTCAAGTTAGGTGAGAAAAGCCTAAAGTGATCTAGAACAAGAGGATATTTCAGTGTAATCTTGAGGTTTATATCATCATTAAAAACAGGAGCCATTATAGGGGTAGAATATCTTCATTTTTTAAATGAATTAAAACTATTATACTTATGCACGTGGAAAAATATGTATTTTAAGAATTTATGTATCACAGCTTAAATCTTAGTCTACAAGGACAGAATTTCAAGACTAGCCTGGGTACAACATTGAGTCTTGGATTAAAATAATAAATCACCAAAAGGCAAACATTACACTTATGAACATGACCAGGAATTTCCAATTTCAAGTCAAAATCTGTCTTTATGCACAGAATAATATAGTCCCAGTGGATTTTGGAAAGTGAAGATCCCCTGAGTCTGAGATCTAAAAGAAGTAAAGTGGACACACAATCCATCCTCTTGAACTTTGAGGTAGGTCTGAAAAGCAGACCTCTGGTGATGCTTATCTGTTCATCAGCTACCCAGCATATCAGGCAAGCAAAAGGAAGCTAAGCATTACATCCTAGATCTCCATTTGGGATTCAAGACTGTACAAGATTTTCCAATTTCAGATTTGGAGGATAATACTCAGAGGATGAAGTTGTTTCTCTCCATGAAAAATATCATGTTCTGTTAAAAAAAGAAGAAGGAAAGGGAGAGAAAAGAGAGATAGAGAAGGAAAATAAAGTGATTAGCAAAACACCAACAAGGGCCTTAGACACACAAATCCATCATCAAAGCTCTAGACATGTTTGATGCCAGTGGCTTATCTTCCACACTAATTTATTAATTTTGAATGCTGTGCATGTTATACAATGATTTGTTCTGTGGGGAAGCTATCAAAGCTTAGACACAAAGATCAAAGTAAGTCTTTAATGTAAAGGAGCATGAGCAATGTGCTGTTTCTCTGAACATTTGTGTCTGACTCTCCAGTTTACAACAACATTAATGTAAAGTACTCTTTAGGGTACAAAGATGTATTCTCTTTATGTCACCTCCTATGTCAGGGTCTTGTGGGGACATTATGAAGAGCTCATCTTCAAAGGAAAAGCAAAGAGGTCATTTTTACAGGTAACTGACATAATGCTTCTTTAAAGCTTTGATATCTCCAAAACATCATCATTTCCTTCAGTATTGCATCTCTCAAGCCACTTAGCTTTTGGACAAAAGTTTTAGGCAGAAACATTATTGCCATGACTTAGTAGGTCTATTCCTGCAGGGTTGTTTTTTTTTTTTTTTTTCTTTTTTTTACAGGAACTATTTTCTGACCTTAATAGGAAAGAAATGGAAATTACTGAAAATCAGGGAATTTTTTTCTGAACTGAATCACTTTACCACCATGGAAAGTTTACAGCAATTTATAAATTGTTGCAAAATGTTCTAGATTCAAAATTTTCCATTTCCTGGACACATGTACTCATCTCCTTGGAGAAAATAAAAAAAGACATTCAAATTTATTTTTAAACTACATCATTTAAAATAAGCAACATGATGATTAATAGACATTGTTTGATGCTGCAAGATAAATGTACATTAAGTCTTACAGAGATTTTAGTTATGGTTACTGAGGACTGCAAAGGATCTAACTGAGTCTAACATGCTATTTTCTGGCTCTTTTCTAGACTTCTAGATATGCAGGAAGGAAAACAACCATTACTTTCAGTACAAAAGGTGTCTTGTAAATCCACACTGGGGCTTTCTTCTCCCTCTTGGAGCTTTCTGCTGGCTCTAATGGTACAATTAAGTACCTAAGTTAAGCAGCTAAAAGTTCTCTTCTGAAATAGATCATGAAAAATAAATAAAAGCATTGTGTTTTCCCTCTGAATATTTTGGAACTTCTGCCTCATTTTAATCTCAGCCTGATTTAGTTTCCTGATGTGTGTAATGGCATGCAGCCATGCAGCACTGCTGAGAGCTCTCTCCAGACCTGCACTGCAGCACTGCTCGTGGTACATGAGAGTTGAGAGCTCTGCTGAGTATAGCTCTGCTGAGCTCTCCCACTATAGCTTCATGATAAAATAATTCATCACTTCTTTTGGGCTTCTCCTTTTTGTTTTGATGAGGGTGAATAAACTGGTGTCTGTCAATAAGGAATCCAAAATCCCTGCCATAGCTCACTGGTTTTTTTCCTGTTCATGTCTGAATCTTCTTCCTGCCTGCCAGGTTTAATGTAAAGTTTATTTTATTCAGGCAAATACAATCCAGTATTACAGAATTTTAGACTAAAAGTACCCGCTTTAAAATATTGATGAATAATCTTCACTGTAATTTTATAAGCTTTTTTTTTTTTTTGGCTATGTATAAACATATGTTCAGTGAAGATAAAGCCAAGGAAGTGAGGACATTTGTGTCTCACTGACAGATTTTCTGCTGCAGTGATCTTTCCATAATTTATTTCTTTATTTTTTGCCCCACAAATAAGCATCCATGATAACAATAAACAGCAGTCACTATCTACATTGGACATCTCACCTGCATTCTAGACTTTTTGACTGAAGTGAATGACTAAAATTAAACTGAAAACCTTCTCCCCATGATCCCTCCTCCCCAGACTCAACTTCCCTCCTAATTCTTCTGCCTCTTTCCCTCTAAGCAGCTCAGAAGGCTGGGGAACAGGGGTTGTGTTTAAGCTAACACTTCATGTCTGCTGCTCCTTCCTCCTCACGTTTTTCTTCTGTTCCATCAGCAGGTGCCCTTCATGACTCCCAGTCGTTTGCAAACTTCTCCAATGGGGGCACTTCCCACAGGCTTCAGTTCTTCAAGAGCTGTTTCAGCATGGAGCATTTCCATAGGGTACAATCCATTGGGAACAGGCTGCTCCAGTGCTGGTTCCCAAAGGGTCACAAGTTCTGCCAGGAACCCTGTCCTGTGTAGGCTCCTATCCACAGGCACAGCTCTGCCAGGATCCTGCTTCTGCATGGGCCCTCCAAGGGTGCAGCTTCCATCAGGGCACATTCCCTTTCTCCAGTGTGAGGCCCTCCAGGAATATTCCAGTGCTCTGCTGGGGCCCCATGGAAGGATCCAGCTGGAACTGGCTCTGATGTAGGGCAGCCCCTGGTGTCTCCTCAGAGGTGCTCCTTGTGCAGCCCCTTCCTCTGCTCCCAAAACCTTGCCCTGTAGCCAAACACAGGTTTACTGTGAATAGGCAGAAACCCTCAGACTCTCAGACCAGTGCTTTAATATAAGCCCAGAAAATCTTTTTGTGTTTTCTGAGTGACTCCAACACAGGACTTGAAGAGATCAGTTTGTGCTGTGCTTTAAAAGCTACTCAGTTGTGCCATGCATTTACACTGTAGGTGCATGTACCTATAGGTAAACACAATTAAACCATTGTGAGTTTGAAACTTGTTACAGGCATCAATAAACACCTTATTTAGATGTTTAGGGTATACCTATTCTTTGCAGATAAGTAGAATGTTTGTGCCTTAACAAGAGAGAACAGATGACTTTTTTGGATGTAGACCTCCAGTTAGAAAGATTAATTTCCATGTCTGAACCAGCTTGATAGCCACTAGTGTAGGGGATGATCATATCACTTGTGGATATACAAAGGCCCATTTGTGACTTGGACTACTTAAATAAATGTTTCTGACGTGAACAAGAAACCTGAAATGTTTCTGAAATATACCTTATATAAATGTTTCTGAAATGTACAGATACTCAGCTGTAAATTCCCTTTAAAATCAGGACAGAAGGAATTTTCTGCGGTTAAGGTTTGATTGGCTGCTGTATACAAATGTACAAAATTGCCAGAAAGATTTTTTTTGTAAGAAACTGCTGCTCATATTACAGCACAGTCAATTTTGAACTGGTAGAGCTAACATAAATGCTCTCTTCCACAGAGTAAGCACTTTCAGGAAGAGATGTTCCTGTGTAAGTAGAGATCTCCCAACATGCCATTTATGCTTCTCCTTGGTTCAACAGTATCCCAAAGCGATAATATTATGGATGTTTCTCTTTAATCCAAGATCTAAAGCATTATTTCAATTTATTTTCACATTTCCTTGGCAAGTCCAAGATTTGTGTGGAATTAATGTCCTTTGCTGTAAAGTGGTTCCATTTCTCCCAGTGGAGCAGGAAGACATATGGGGGCTTATTGAGCATGTTTTCTTTTGACAGATTTGCAAAGCCACGGAGAATGCCTTCACTGGTTGTTTTCAGTTTGGCTTTGCTGGAGCTCTCAAACATACCAGAGAAAAGGCAATTATAGCTGTGAAGCTCTGGTGAGTTGTATCTGTCTTTTGTTTAATCAAACAAGTGAATTTCTACAGTTCGAAGAGAACAACTGTATTGGAAAACAATCCCTCTGGCTACTTAATTTCCTGTCACACCTGCCAGATCCTGACACTTTGCCCTGTCCAGATTGTTCAATGATTATTCAAAAAATGAAACTTAATTCTCTTACCCAGATATGATATGTCATTTCTGTGAGGAATCTTGTACCTCTGACATTTCAATTAGAGGGATGAAACATCAACATCTGACCTTTACTCTGGAAAAATGGAAAACTCTCAGACTCTCATGTTCTGTTTTTTCTCCTTAGCCTTTCCACATAAAAAGAACTTCTATAATTTTCACAGATATTTCTAGAATCAAGAGTAACACCATCAATGGAATTTTGCAGCCCAAGCTCTGCAGTCCTTGTTTTTCAAGGTGACCTAGGCTATCTGGAAGAGCTTATTGGGCCTGATACAAAACTGTCAGGAGGCACCTGCCTTATGAAGGTAGTGGGAGGACAGGAACCTATCCTAGAGCAGCTTGGGTAATGATAAACTAGAAACTCTCACTATTGAACAGCTACAGGCCTATGATACCTGTTTTTTATACTATTATCAGATTTGGTTTGCTCTCTCTAGCCATCAAAACATTTAGTCTCCACTGGTCTATTCCACATATATTATCCTCACACAAGAAGAGTCCTTAACTGAGTTTCTAAAGGTGCTCAGAAGAAATAATACTCAGAGTCTAACATTTGCTGAAGGTGGAGCAAGAACAGAACTCCCCACTTGCTGCTCTGAGCTCCAGGAGGCACTCCAGGATTCCCAAGGAGAACAAGGGGTGGAAAATTTCCAGTGCCTGCACCTGAGGAAAATGACTGCATTGAATATGGCCCATTGCAATGAGTGAAGGACGGTTTTGGAAGCCTCTATAAGAGAAAATATCCACTCGCAATCCGATATTGGTTTGTTACTGTTACTTTGAAAACATTACTTTTTACTGGCAGTGTTAAAAAATTTCCAGTACCAAATAATAACTGCATTTTAAGGATTCACAGGTAAAATTTTTGATCTTTCTAAAATAATGTATCAGAATTCCAGATAAGTTTGGTGAATTAGGTTGATTCTTGAAATTAAACAATAACTCAAAGAGATGAAAGCCCAGCTAAGTCCAGCGAAATGTGCCAGTCATATCATTCTGCCTACCCTGTACAATGAGAAAGAAACATCCATTGTCATATTTATTTTTAAAATACTAGAAGTTTTTTCTTGCTGATGGGATCCTTCGGACATAATAATCTTTGCACTTGAGAAACTGGATATATTTCCTTCAAGCACCATCAGGTCGCCCTATTACATTCCTCATTTAATTTACCTGTTATTATGCCCTGCACCTAGTGGGTAACCTTGGATGATCTTCTTTGTATATTTGCACACTGCAGTCCCAAAACAGATGAAGCTGTATACTGGCTTGTATGTAAAGCAGACAAAACATAGCAAGCAGGGATCATTTATGAAATCAAATTTAACAGAGCTGGTTAATGTTTGGATGCTGCCTGACTCTGTGCTGCTCATTGCAGTGTGCTGTTTTTCATGAAGTATTTGCTTAGGATCTGCAATGCAGTAAGAATCATTTTCACTTGACTGCAATTTTCTTGACATTTGTTTTAAATCCCAACACATTTCTCTCCATATATATGGAGAAAATGTTTCCAACATTCTGTCGAGAGTACAACTTAGAGGTGTATCTAGGGATATTAAAAATCTTAGTAAATGGATCTAAATAGATCAGATAATCGTTTTTGACAGAAAGAGTCCACCAAAGACACAGAGCAGTTTTGAGATTCATATTATTCATATCATGCCCTCAAATGAACCATTATAATGAGTTTTCTAATGGCAGAGCATGCAAAGCAGTTCTTGCCCCCAAACGATGTGAAGTTGTTATATTGCAGCATGGAAACCCCACCAGATTGTTGTACTGTCTAAATGTAAATGATTTGCAAACATAAATAATGAAAGTGTCTCTGCTTTGTAAATTTATGGAATATGCTGACTCAGATTAAAATAGCACTATGGTAAAAGATGATAGATTGTTTCTTTCCTGAGAATGTAATCTTTTCCACTGCTTTAGAAAAAAATAAAAACAGAAGCCTGTGCATTTGTTCAAACTAGTTTATACTTAAGAGCTAAATATTAAAAAGAAGATACCAGAATGTAGTAATTCAATGAAGCAATTATCTTTCTTTACATACATCAAATGAAGCCTCTAGAGTGCTTTAAGATTGCAGTCCAGTTGAGAATTCAATGAGATTCAGCTGGAGAATGTGCTGGAGTATGAGACACAATTTTGCACCTAGGGGAGGCCTTAGAAGAGCAGATAATTTAAGATATCTCTCAACAAATCTATTTTTCACTTTTCACAGATGCTCAGCTGCTCACTAAATAGTGTGATTCCTTCAGCTACAGGACACTTCAATAAAATCAGTTTCATATTCTATCACCATGATGTGAGTGTAGCAAGCACAGAGGTTGGGGGGGAGGGTCAGAGCACCTCCTGCACTCAAACAGCCTGGATGATGCAGTGAACAAAAATTGGTATCTGGACTAGTAGGGTGATTCAAAGTGAATTGCCTGAGTGACCACTTAATTCTGCAGCACAATCCTTGGAGAGACTTTGGTTTCAGATTGATAATCTCCAACTTCAAGAACAGTACTTAAAGCCTGATTATAAGATCTACAGCAATGTGTTGTGTCACTTCCTTCCTCTACAGAGAGAAAAAAAGGCCACAAAACAGTTTGCCTCCTTTCACTGAAGCCTCAGTGTCAGGTCCTCTTCAAAAGCACATGCATGCACAGACAGGGAGCAGTGGAACAGCTTGTGAAAGAGCTCAAGGCTAACTGCACTCATCTGCTATGGATCGAATAAACCTGCAATCAAAAGAAATTCAAATCCCTGTTCAGCTGTTCTTCAAAGCCTGTTATACAAAGGTGGAAGGGACAGGAAAACTATCCTTCATCCTTCTCTCTAAGCCTAAGGGACACTGCAACCAAGAATGCAAGAGTCACAGCACAGAAGAAAAGCAAATAAGAAACTGTGGACACAACCTAGTAGGTAGGGCAATGAGCTAGAAAGGAGAGGATATGAACAATTTTAAGGAAGGCTTTATTGACTTTGTTTTACCTATGTACTTCCCAATAGAAGTTATTGCAATAAAATTCCTAATTTATTGCCGCAAAGCCTGCATCACTTCTAATTAGGATGCCGTGCCTTTCAATAGAGATTTGTTGGTGTAGCCTCTTTTATACATTTCACACTGAATGATTACACTTGTTTCCTGCAAATGTGACTTATTATTGTGCAAAAGGGTGAACAAACAGATGGGGGAATAATACATGGAGAAGTAGAGAGGATTCCTTTAGAAACAAGAGATCTTGAGGGATTATTTGTGGAGTTAATTTATTTTCCACAATAAAGGGTGATGATTAAGCAGGATTGACAGATAATGAGAGTTAATGTATTAGAGATTTAGTTCACTTGAAATCAAGTGGAAATTAAATTTGAAACTGAATTTTTAATTACATTATGAGGTGAAAATTGAAAGAATATTTGGTACCATATCACCCAGTTCCTATTTTTCATCCATGCCAATTTAATATGAGTTGGGGAAAAAAACTTATAATTGACTGTATTACATAACTCTACATCTCACCTGGTATTGAGCTTAATTATTTCTTATATTTATTTTTTAAATATGTAAATATGCCAAATCCAAGTGAACACAAAAAGTGTATTGCACTGTTCAAAGAAAGCAAAAATGTGTTGTTTGTTCTAGATATGAAAGAAATTATTTATCTTTTGAGTGTACTTTTAAAGTATTCATAAGAAAAAATGCTTTAATATGGGATATTTGTATATATGCACGATCCTGAAGGCAAAGTAAAACAAAAAAAGAATCTAATTTCAGTGTTTCTAATTCACCATAAAGGCATAAAATTGTAGGAAGCACTACAGTTGCTCCAAAGTACCATTGGGCCAATGATAGCAGCAATTGAACAGTAAATTGTATATAAACTGTTAAAAGGCGGACAAAGAAAATACTGTAGCAGGCAAAGTACTTAGAGTACTTAAAGTACTAAATGTACAGGTATGAAATGTGGAATACTTTTTATTTAGTGACTTCAAAAATATTTGCAACATTGCCTGATAGTCCAATTTTAATTAAAAATAAATAAATACAGCAGTCAGTTTTGTGCAGTCAAATAAATCTAGTAATGTACAGAATCCTGCACAAGTACAGCATATACAGAGCTTTGGAAATTCACATATTATTTTATAGTCCTTCACTAACTTAATCTCAAAAAAAAAAAAATTGGCAAGTTTTATCCTCTAAGCTGAGTATTCTGTAAAACACATGAATGTGAAATAACAAGAAGAGAAATAAAATGGGAAGAGAATGGATTTTTCAGCTAAAAAACTATATTTATTTCTTTAAATCTCAAAAGTTTAATGAAATGATGGAAACTTTCAAAACTGAATATACAATATAGACAATCATGGTAGGGAAAGAACTGTACAGGAAAGGATATAGTAGTAGCCAAAATAATAGAAATAATAGAACATCTAGAAAAGTATCTTGCTCCTGGCACTGGGCAAGTAGCAGATGCTGAGGAGGATTACAACCCAGAAAGCACCACATGAGACTTCCTTGTACATTTTCTCATCATGCAGCAGACTGTAGCTCAAGAGCTGCCCAGTCCTCAGATACTTTACTCCTATTTAATGCCCTCTCCTCCATTTTTTCTCTGTGTTTCATACACATGATTCAAACCTATATTTAGCTTTAAACTTCTGCACATCAAAGGGAAGTCTTGCAAAGAAGACATGTCTCTCAGAAGTTTCTCTTTCTGCTTATTTTGAGCATTAAATTCTTTCTCGGCTATGTCATTCTTGCTGACGTGACCTCGTCCACTTAGAGTTGGGTCAGGGTAAGACCCATCCTCACTTTTGATGCTCCATTTCCCCATTCCAGTTGGGCTGTGCTTCCTCTCAGAAGCAGGGATCATACCTGCCTCCCAAGGTAGGTGCACTGCAGAGTTACACATCACTGCTGGGACACTTTCTGACATGCTGTCTAATCCTTTCTATTAATTCATGGTTTCACTTGATTTTTGACTATTGTTGATTATTAAGATGATTTTTCTATGCAATGATGATTTTTTGACTCAAAAATGTTATCTTGGGCAGTAATAGTTAACTCAGAACTCATTCCTGCAAACATAATAATCAAAAAAAGTGCTTTTATTTTTCCTGTGTGACTTATCACATTTGACTTTTGTCAGCAATCTGTTGCCCACTGAATCAATATTGTAAATATTTACAGTTCTCCGCCATTAATCATCAGTTTTGTTATCCCAATTTATCAAGTCTCATAAGCAAATTTTTTCACTTCATTGCTGATATTCATAAATATGTTGAACAGCATAGGTCAGACTAAAACCTCCATGAAGTCTGGGACATACCCCTGCACAGTAAACACTTTGGAAGCCTGTTAAAACTTGAGATTTTTCAGTTTATCATGATTTTTTGAACACACTGGTAAGAGATAATCTGGTTAACTGTCTAGTCTCAGAATCATCTTTGAGGGAACAATTTAGCTCCTTCAAAGAGAAGTACCTAAGTTGTCTCCAGTCATCTCTACAGATCCAAAGGAGCTGTCTGACCCTCTTTAATGACTTCAGAGCACCTGGATGTTTATCCTGGATCAGAAGTCATAATGCAAAAAAAGCAATGAACTGCTTCTATCAGCAACACATACACAGTGATTTTAGCTTCCAGAAAACAAGCAAGAATATTGCTATCACAAAGTAGGAGATTTGAAGAAACTTCTACCAAAAAAAAAAAAAATTTAAAAAAAATTCTCTTTCTACCAGGTATGGAGAACTTACAAAGTTGTTTGAGGGTTTTTTACTAATTACTCACAACTGAATGTGCACTGTGTACTTGAAAATTAAATTATTGCAGATATGAATAATGTAATATAGATTTCCAATGGCTTTATTGCTAACAAATACACTATTATAGCAAATATACTATTATAACAAATATATCATTACTATAGAGTTGTTTGGGAATAAAATGAGGAAAGAACACAGCCAATTCATTAAATATCCCAATGCAAACTAGAAAGTCTAATAGTTATTATATAATTATACTGTTTCTGTATATATTAGCCTACACCTGCACTTTTTCCTCAAGAAAGAAAGTATGGATTAAGTTTATATTAGGTGCAGATGTATCTGTATTTCAGATCCCTATTCCTGGTTATTTAGATAATGTCTGTCTGGATGAGGCAAAACCTTGCTTTGACACTTCATGCTGTTTATGAATCTTTATCAGATCACCAGAGCAAAATATAAAACAAAGTGCATGGAGCAGGAATCTCTTCTCAAGTGTCCAAATTCCCTCTCTGCATCTTGCTTCCCTGCTGGTCCTGCTGCTCATCCACCAGGGAGACGTTTTGAATGCTTCAGACCCATTGTCATTTTGTTTCTCTTATCTGTCCCTGTATGTGAGTTCTTGGTAACTTTACCTCACATAACCCTTGTTAAGCATTAATGTTTTCAGAGAAGAAATATGGGGAAAATATTTGTAAGCAGAAAAGCACAAGCTCCACAAAATATGAGAGCTTCTGCAGGAGTGAAACTGGGAAATTAGCGTGGTTTTCCTCCTACCTGCTCTTTTTAATTTTTTTTTTTGTACTTTCCATCACTTGCAACATCTGAGTATATATATTTCTTTTCAGATGTTAGCACTCTTCAGAGCTGCACTAGAACAGATCAACACTCAAAAATGTGTGGAGCCATGACCTTATGTTTTGAAAAGACTAGGAAGCCAACACTCATAAAGAAAGTTCTAAAGTTTGTTTGAAATTACTGGCTTTATGTCAGAATTTATTCCAAAAGTTGTCTTTGATTAACTGAATTTGGGGACTTATTTTGGATGGGAAGATCACATTGAAGGAGAACTCACTGGCTGCATTGGTCTTTACTGTTCTGGCTGAACAAAATTTTGAGGTGAGTTGGAGTCTGTATAAAACCTGCTGATTCCTATTCCTGTATTTTTATTAAAAACGATCTCTTGCTGTTGAATATCAGTGAAACTAAAATTAAAAAAAATATGAAAACAAACCTATTAGGATGAGAGCACTTTAGTGCATTCTGCATAATTGTTAAACATTTGTACAGTTAAGCCTTTCTGTTGGGAATGCATTAGCATTTAATAAATAAAGATGCAGCATTCTATTTCATTTTGAAGAACCTTGAGCCATAAAAGTACATTGTGAAGCAGAGAGGTAATTACAGTACATCCAGCAGCAAAGCCACTATACATTTAATTTCCAGTTCATAATTGTCTACTTGAAATACAGTGAAACTTTGACATGCCAAGTATTTTCCATTTCAATCACTTGAATTTTTGGTGGGATAATGCTGAAGACAGAGTATGCACATCTTGTTGCCATGGCAACGAGAATACTGAATTTGGGCAAAACAACAGAGTTTGAAAACCTGAAATCAAAATGAAGTTAGAAATGAGTTCAGTTAGGCAACATAACTTGAGCTCAGAATATACATTAATGGATGACAGTAAAAAAACATAGAGCAAAATACACATAGCCATTGGTTAATCATTTTCTTACAAAATCTACTGGTAAGAAAATGACAAGACCACTAAGTTAGCAAAAGTATGCATTGAAATAAAGTGCAAAATATGGTAAATATCATACACTTGACTTGTGTTTTGTGAACGGGATTAATTAAAAGCCTATTTAGGCTTTTCTTTTGTTTGTGATAGCATAAAATTATCTTAAAACTTATATATTTAGTATATACACCCCAAAAAAAGTCTTTCTTTCGCTTTCATATTAAATATTGCTAGAATGCATATTGAATCACCTAAATATACTGGTTTTCTTGAAAAGGGGTTGCATGGACGTTTCTCTTGAGATCTTCTGTAGGTACAACCACACTAGAAATAAATGTATGTGCAAGAAAGACTTTTTTTTTTTTTTTTGAGCTGCTGCCATTTTTACAGGAACTGAATTTACATGGCCACTGTGCCAGACAGAGAAGAATATGCCAGCATGATTTTAGCTGCCAGGAAGATATGCCCCAACCCCTTCCTACTGCTATTTGAAAATAGAAGGATAACAACTCTCCACTTCTTCCAGCACGGACAA